TTGAAAATGCATGATCTGGCTAGATTGATACAAAATTGAGGTTTCAACTTCTTAAGAAACACATTTTGAATTTCTAAATTCAGAAAGGTAAGTGCTAAGAAAGTGAAAACAGAAGTCCACATCGGCTAGAGAGGGGATGGTCTTGGGTTTATAAGAGAATTGAGCTACTAGTCCTAACAGGTTAACCTTTGGGATGGAACACGAAGTCCCAACTGGAGGAAACACAAAGAAAAGGAATGGAAGAAAGAAAGAAAGTTCACCCTTGAAACTTTTAAGTGCTGGCATAACGAGAAGGGATGGAAATTATTGTAGAAATGCTAGGGACAAGAACACAAGTCTGTTTTTACCTCTTGAACTTGGATTTCCTGGTATACGGTAAGGAAGTCGGTATCAGAGTATCTCATGGAGCACCCTGCATTCAGCGCCCGACCCTCAGACCATGGCAAGCATCCCAATATGGATGCAGATGCATTCTCCAACCAAGCTGTGCAAGAGTTACCACTAAGCGTCCCCCAGCAGTCAGCAAGAACATAAGCCGATTCATTTGCAGTCCTAGACATGGGCACTTGAGCCCGTGCGTAGCCATTGTTGTTTGAAGAGGCAATAACTGCCTGTACCACAGCCCTTCTTGCTGATAACTGAAATGCAGAATTCTTTCGAGTTCCCTTCCCACAGAAGGCCCTATCATTTGGTCCGGTACACTTTTGAAAGAAACTGTAATTCTCATTTCACATGAAGCAGCCATCAAGGAAAATCCTTCCGCTATTGGAAGGATGGTACTGAGGAATAATATTGCGCGCTTAAGAAAAGCATAAAACACAGTTGAGTAAAGAAAGATCCCGATAGCATTGTGCTAGTCCATTATTAGTGTCGGTTCCTCCTGAGCCAATTTCTCCTATGCCAAAGCCTGAAGATCGAATCTGCACACTTATGTTCTCTACTAAGGCAACGAAATTCTGGACGAAAAGGCTAGTGTTGTGCTCGACTTGGTTCCCGCACATGAACTGAACCATCTGAGCTCTTGGCTCCCCTAATGTTCCATCTGGTAGTAACAAATTAACCAGAATAATAATGATAACAAATTGACTAGCTATGAATTTCTTCATTTTCCAACAGATAAAAATGACAAGATTCAAGACGCTAGATAGCTAGCAAATGTACAATCTTTCCTTAGGAAAAATGAAAGTCTTGAAAAATGGAAAATTGAAGATAAAGTCGTAACTTCGGAAAAACTAAAGTCTTGAATAATGGTTAAATGTTTGAGTGATCATAGAGTTGATCAACACTAGTCGGTGAGGAAAAATAAATTTAAAGAGTGTATTGTAGCAACTCATTCAAAATTACATCAAAATTTTTCCAGATTGTATATATTTTAGCTCC